GTTTATACTTTTTTCTTCCTGGTTACTCAAAAGCCCAGCTTTCCTGTTTCGGGGTCAGCCAGAGTATTCCTAATGGCCTTTCTTCAAACGAACCTTTAGATTTAGCCCGTCTCTTGGTTCTTTTGGTGGTGCGACGGACGCTGGAACCTGAATCCTCCAATCGCGGGGTTTGGAGCCGTAACTACACATGGGTGGTTGTCAAAATTATGGTTCCTTTTTAGGAACCCTATATATTAGGTGCCGTACTATATTCGGGACCCAAAAAGGGACTATAATTTTGACAACCACCCAAATGTAGCCTCATTGTGTCTTGTAAAGTAGCCGAGCTCCCCCGCGCCCCCTTACAAAAAGCAAGACAAACAAGGTGCATTGAGTCCTCTTGGTACAGCGTGCCCGTACCCTCCAATGTACTTCCGATTGTCGGGGCAATGTCAAACTCTTTGATCTCATGAGGAGATAAGGGAAGCAGATCACGAAATCGGATTGTCTGGTGGTCCAAGGAGGCATGGAAATTGCTAAGGAACCTGGGGAGAGTTGGAGATTGCGAGTATGTAAATGTAAGTCTCTCTCTCGCTCTCTCTCTCTCTCTCTCTCTCTCTCTCTCTCTCTCTCTCTCTCTACTCTCTCTCTCTCTCTCTCTCTCTCTCTCTATATATATATATATATATACATACACATACACACACAAACACACATATATCATATACGTACATATTTATGTATACAGTTGGTTTCTACACGCACATAAACTTTAAACACACACGCACACGCATACCCCCACTTGGACCCCTCCCTTATGGATTCAGCTGTTTATGTGATAGCGAATCGAGGGAGGGTCTACGTAAGCCCAGACCCGGGTTTCCACGAATGTCGGGGCCTTGAACCCTTTACAACCCAAACCCAAAATCCTATAAGCCCTAAAGCTAAAAACCCTGGTTCGGACAAACGGCCCTCAACAAACAAGCTCGAAGCGCTAGATTCCCTAGACCCGAAATCCTGAAGGTTTACGTTAACCCTGAATAACGTACCTTTTGGCCTTTTGGTTTCCTTATTATGATTTCTTCAAATAGGTCCTTAAAGCTGTAGGTTCTTCGGGGTTGAGGTAGGATTTGCGAGTGACAGGGGCTTACTCTCATGCCTGGGTGTACCAGAGTTGGAGACTCGCCTGAGAAAACAGCGGCGCGCCGGTCTGGGTCGAGCCTGAGGCTGTGAAGTGATTGCTTCAGATTGCCGTTGCATGCATTTGCCTCCATATATATATATATAGAGAGAGAGAGAGAGAGAGAGAGAGAGAGAGATGTACATACGTGCTGCATCAGACTGCGCATATATGTCTGCAGATAAGTCATGCTTTTAGCATCTGCATTACTAGTTTCTGTTACTATTTCTCGTTAGATGTGCATTAGTAGTCATACGACATTGGCTACTACTAGTGAGTCTTATTGTTTTTTGACGACTACGCTTAGCCCGGTCACTGCTGATTACGGCAACGGTTCCCCAGGGCCTCGATAGAGTGTTTAGTGTTGAGTTCAAAGGTTCCACCCTGCAGCTGCACCCTAAACCCCAAACCCTAAACCTTAAACCCTAAATACTAAACCCTAAACCCAACTCTAAAAACCCAAAACCCTACACCCTCAACCCTCAACCCTGCAGCTGCAACTGGCCCAAGACAGTTCATGCAGCCGGGAGATCAGCAGCTAGACGAGGCGAGGGTCAACAGTTTCATATCAGGGCCTACTATAGGGGCCGAAATAATTACCATTTTACGTTGGGGGTTCCTAGTATACCAGGCCCCACAACCCTATTCTGATAATTACGGCCCCTATATTTCGTACAAGGGTTCCGGAATGAAAGTGTTGGGTTGATGGTGTGAAATAGGACCTACCACGGCAAAGCCACGAACGAAATGTGGTGAATGGCAGGAGTAACAGAGCGAGCAGCGTGGAAATCCTGTGCATGTCCGAATCCCTTTATGACATGCAAGACCCTCAACCACAAACCGTCAAGCCGCAGACTTTGAGTTCTTGCCAGTCATACATACCCGTTATGCCCTTCAATCCTGTATACAGGACATGCAACCTCGGATGCTATGCATGCTTGAATGCGCTGCTTTCACATGCCACATTTGTTCGGGGGGCGGGTGTCAGTATGGGGACACTATCAAGACTATGTTGCGATAGGCTAAGATTCCTCCCCACCCCCGGTTGCCCCGGGCCCCCACACATTTACCGCGCGCCTGCGACTGTCTGACTCCGCCCTTTATACGTAAGCGTTGGTCATAGAGTTTTGAAGAAAATGTAACCCGACCAACTTATGATGATCATTCTGTGTACATCACTTCATGCCACTCCATAGCAGCCAGTATCGGTGGTTTGATATCGCCTTGCATCATCTGGAATCGCTCAGAGCAGCATGCATGGCACGATCTGTGCAAGGCAAGAGACTCTGCGTAGGGCGTATAGGGCGTAGAGGGCCTGCGAATCTTTGGTTGTCAGCGAAGTGCATTCTTGGCGATTTCTCTTCTTACCTTTGGTGAGTAGGGAATGGAGGACTGGGGTACAATTATAAGTACTATTACTACCATTCTTCCATTCCCTACTAACCAAAGGTAAGTTTTTCCCTCAAGGCCCAAGCCGTTCCACAGGACGGGAGCGGGGATGATCACACGCGAGCGAAGCTCAATGACAAATGGGTGGTTGTCAAACTTATGGTCCCTTTTTTGGGTCCTTCATACAATACGGCACCTAATATTTATTTAAGGTACCCAAAAAGGGACCCTAATTTTGACAACTACCCAAATGGGGGCATACCTTGGCGGGGTAGGGTGGGCGGCCCGCCGGGGCGCAACCATACATCCCTGCCTTGCAATCACGATGACTTAGAAGCTGCCCCCACCCTGTAATACTGACTATAAGGATTATATTAGGGCCCTATTATATCGCTATTATGCCACTGACTATAAGCATTATATTAGAACCCTATTATATTGCTATTATGCCACTATTACAGGGCAGGGGCCCCTTCTAAACGATGACTCTGAATCGGAAACACTGAAGTCCGGACCCGGGCTCGTCCTAGCTAGGTGGGAGGCACTAGACCCTCACCCACCCAGCCAACGGGTTTAGGGTTTAGGGTTAGGGTTCAGCAGCTCTGATTTTGAAGATTTAAGGTCAAGCTATTTCTAGTCAAGCTATCTTCAAGAATAAACCCCACCCGCCCAGAGAATCCCCTCACATTAGAATTATAGTTTTATTTCTTTTGGCTTGAATTATTAAATACTAACTTACATACGACTCACGACTCAAAGAATCTATCATATTTGCAACCGTCGTCGATTCGCAAGTAGACCGTAAGTTACCGTTAAAATGTTGAAAGTGTAAGAAGAAAGCACTACCCACAGCAGCTGAGGCTGCGGTCACGCCATCGCTTTACAGTAGCAACTGCAGCTATCAAGCTTCTTTGCGATGACCGTTCAAGGCAGCGCATTGAGCAACTGATCAAGAACGACTCAAAACCTTGGCCGTGGCACACTAACAAGCACACCTTCGTGTGCAACTAGCATCCTTGGTTTTGCCTTGTCAGATGGAAACCAGCGTGGTCAACTAGCATCCTTCTTTTTGCCTTGTCAGATGGAAACAGGTCAACTAGCATCCTTGTTTTAGCCTTGTCAGATGGAAACCAGCATGGTCAACTAGCATCCTTTTTTGCCTTGGCACACGGAAACCAGCGTGTGCAACTAGCATCCTTCTTTTTGCCTTGCAAAATGGAAACCAGCGTGGTCAACTAGCATCCTTGTTTTTGCCTTGCAAAATGGAAACCAGCGTGGTCAACTAGCATCCTTGTTTTTGCCTTGTCAGATGGAAACCAGCGTGGTCAACTAGCATCCTTGTTTTTGCAGGAGGAAACCAGAGTGTCCAACTAGCATCCTTCTTTTTGCCTTGCAAAATGGAAACCAGCGTGGTCAACTAGCATCCTTGTTTTTGCCTTGCAAAATGGAAACCAGCATGGTCAACTAGCATCCTTCTTTTTGCCTTGTCAGATGGAAACCGTAGGCCGCTAAACACTGGGGGCCCTGGCCCTAAACCCCAGGCCCCTAAACACTGGAGCCTTAAACCCGAGGCTGCTAAACACTGGAAGCCAGGGGGGAGGGGAGGGAGGAGAGGGGAGGGAGGGGAGGGGAGGGTAGGGGAGGGGAGGGGAGGGGAGGCGAGGGGAGGCGAGGGGAGGAGGGGAGGCGAGGGGAGGGGAGGGGAGGGGGAGGGGAGGGTAGGGGAGGGGGGGGGGGAGGGGAGGGGGGGGGAGGGGAGGGGGAGGGGAGGGGAGGGGAGGGGAGGGGAGGGGAGGGGAGGGGAGGGGAGGGGAGGGGAGGGGGGAGGGAGGGAGGGGAGCCCTAAACCCGAGGCCCCTAAACACTGGCCCTAAACCCGAGGCCCCTAAACACTGGAGCCCAAAACCCTAGGCCGCTAAACACTAGGGGCCCTGGCCCTAAACCCGAGGCCCCTAAACACTGGGGCCTTAAACCGTAGGCAAGGGCCCTGGCTCTAAACCCGAGGCCCCTAAACACTGGGGCCCTAAACCCTAGGCCCTAAACCCTAGAGCCCTAAACCCGAGGCCGCTAAACACTGGAAAACATCCAAAGCCACGAGTTTTGATCCAAAGCCACGAGTTTTGATCCAAAGCCACGAGTTTTGATCCAAAGCCACGAGTTTTGATCCAAAGCCACGAGTTTTGATCCAAAGCCACGAGTTTTGATCCAAAGCCACGAGTTTTGATCCAAAGCCACGAGTTTTGATCCAAAGCCACGAGTTTTGATCCAAAGCCACGAGTTTTGATCCAAAGCCACGAAGTCATTAGGGTTTAAATTACTATAGGTAGAGAGGTTTAGGGTTTAGGGATTAGGGTTAGGGTTTAGGGTACACACACACAGAGGCACACACACACACACACAATAACCAAACACCTGACAGTGAGCAAAGAACGCTGACGCAGGCCAACGGCGCATGGCGGGACATGTCCTGCGGTGCGTCATCGCAGCCGCTTTGACCTCGCAGCTTCAGGTCGCCACACTCAGTTCGTTTCAACCTGTTGAGATGTTGTATAGGTTTATAGGGCTCATAGGGTTTATTTCTTTATTTATATATATATATATATGTATATATATATATATATACATATAGGGTTTAGGGTTTAGGGCAGGGTCCCTTGAGCGCAACTTTTCACTGCTGTTCTGCGCAGCAGGCGATCTGCCCGGAGACGTGCAAGACGGGAAGTGGCCAGGATTTTCCCTGCCGAATCTGGGCTCCTCTGGGAGACACTTCCTATTAAGGCTGTAAGCTCGACTTTTCAACTGTTGGGGTTCTTATGAGGTAGTCGGTTCTGAAAGTTTTTAACTCTTGTTTACTTGGGTTTTGGGCCAGTAAGATTTTGGATTTGAGGGTTTAGGCTTTGGTGTTTATACGTTCAGGGCTTGGGTTTAGAAGGGTTCCATGCCTGGATCATGGTGGTATAGTTCATGACCGTTTCCGTACTCACAACACAGGAAATCTATGACATTACTGTGCGGGCATGCTCGTTCTGAAACATGTTTTTTCTTCAGAAAGTGCATGAGGGAAGTGTAAGACAGAAGTTTTTTTCAGAACCACCTGCCGGAACTCCAACTGATCAACATAAGTCTGAAGCCATGAAAGGTTGTTGAACTTTTGGTGCTCGTGACAGCTGAAGGGTTTTTTGTTGGATTCTCGGGTCTTTGTGCATGGAGGCGGGTTTGGGGCAGACGGCGGGTTGAACACTAGATGGATTATATAATGATTGGGGCTTCGGCTTAGGGTTTAGTAGGGTGTAGAGTCCAATGTATGCATAAGGGCCTCATTCTGCTCCTCCTCCTGCAGGGTTTCGGTTTAGCACCCTAAACTTTAACTTCCAGGCCCTAAATCCCGACAAACTGTCATTGTAAACACCAAGTCGAGGAAGCCTGCTTAAGCATTGGTGGGCGCAGTTCAGGGCTGTTGAACTTTTAAGCATCACCGCGACACTCTTGGACGTGTCTTAATTGGCGCTCTGAACCCTCAAGCTAGCATTCTGCAGCCGCAAACGCTCATGAGCTGCAAAGCCAAAATTTCGGGCAATCCCGCTGTGGGACAATCATCGAAGGATACTACAAGAACGGCGACTGCACCGTTGATTTCGTGAACAACCCCAGCCGCAATGCCAGCCAGGATATCAACATAGCCGCCGCCGGCCTCAGATATAACTTACATCGGTGGTTCTCAAGATTATGGTCCCTTTTTGGGGTCCCCAAATTTTAAAAATACGGCACCTATTATTTAGATTACCCAAAGAGGGACCTTAATTTTGACAACCACCCACATGGGGATGGGGTCCTTCCGGGTCTCGGGCTTGGGGCCTTGGAGGTCTTTGTCTTGCACGGTCGAGAGAACCCTAAACCCTAAACCCTAAACCCCTAAACCCTAAACCCCTAAACCCTAAACCCCTAAACCCTAAACCCCTAAACCCTAAACCCTAATGTTGAGAGTTCAGAAGCACAACGGTACTATGGCGGCTCTGCAAGGCTAGTATAGAGGCTAAAATAACTGTGGAAAATATTATTCAGGGGATTCCTGATCCCAAGAAAAGAATACTTGCTCCCAAAAGCGTGTTCTAATTATTAGGCCCCTGTATTGCAAGGGTGCTAGAAAGGCTTTGCCAGGCTTGACAGTAATTTTTTTTTGCCTAGTGCACCTGGAGGTAGGGTCCGGTGCTGAAAGAGGTGCCGTTGAGTGGAGGATCCAGATAGTTATGACTTCTAGGTGAAATTTGTGACCGAGGTAAGTTGCGGTAGGTATCTCTGGTAACGGCCAAACCGGTTAAGAGATATCAAGGTGTAGTGACTTTTGGGTCTTACTTCTCGTGCTGCATGTGGACCTTAACGTCGGCATCTGTCAGTAAGCGGAATCGGGAAAGAACCTTGAAATACACCGAAATCCTACTTAGGTCATCAGCCCGTACAGCGGGATTATTGGTGATATGATGACCATGGCTGAGCCGTTGCTGGCACTGGCAGCACAGGAGATCGAGGTCGGATTTTCCTATGCTCTTTCCCTAAGGGTCCAAGTACGCAATTATCATCTACTCTCCCAAACAGCGACCTACATAACTACTATCCGAAACCTAAGTACCCAAGTACGTAATTATCATATACCCCCCCCCCCCCAAATAGCAACCTACATAAACAACTATCCGAAACCTAAGTACCTAATTATTGGGTCCTTTGGACCCTTGGGGTTTCTCTAATGCCCTGAACCCGGGAGACTCCCTAAGGGCAAGAAAGTCGGAGGGAGGGTCTCTGAGATTTAATCGGCTTGCTGGATTGCGGTGATGGTGGAATCTTTGGCGCTTGCAACGGCAGAAGTAGTCATAATTACAAGAAGTAGCAATACAGATGAGAATTACGACAACAATCAGCATCTACAGGCCCTTGAGAACGATGAGCCTCTATTGCCTTTTGCAGCTCAACCCCTGCCCTGGAGCCCTCAAGCCCCTAAAGGGAACTCCAGAAAGTTGGAATATGGTTTCAGGGTAGTAGGATACCTTATAATTTACCATAAAGGGTTTAGGAAATTCATATTCCAACCTTCTGGCTTTAACTTTTACTTCAGTAAACCCTAATACCCTAATACCCTAAAGCCCTATAAACCCTAAGCCCCTAAAATCGGGAACCCTGAGTCGAAAGAGTCCGGAAGTCTTCCGATCGGCCAGAATCTTTTTTGACTCTGAACTTTAAGTGCAACAACAAGATGTGAAGACCAGAAAGACAGGTAATCCATAGGGTGTATGTTGAGAAGGAATTGTAGTGCAAACATTCTGAGGGTTTATGGAACTTGTAGAATATCATACTGTAGCATGAGAAGGATAGCGGCTGGCTGCCCGGCTATCGGGTGAACCTGCACCTCACGGATTCGGGATGTGACGAGGTCGGAACGGTGTTCTTCCAGTCATACAGTCCAGCCGGTAGCTCTTTAAGTTAGGGTCCTTTAACGGGCTGGGATTCCTTTAATTAAGGATTTGACGTTTAGGGTTGAGCATGCCTTTAAACGGTTCCTTAAACTTTAAAGGTTACTCTCTAAGTTAGGCTTTCTTTTTGGGTCCGCAAAGTAGCATGGCACCCAAATAATAAATCCTAAAATTTCCACGGAATGCTATTTCAAGACCTCCCTCCGTCTGTTGCTTGGGTTGGGGTCGGCGGGTGCATTATGCTATCCCAATGTTGGGGTTATGATCTTTGGTTTTGGTTCCGGGGTTCCGTTGGGATTAGGGTTGGGCTCGGCGTTCGGGGTGGATCTTGAGCCCTACAGTTCTTTAGCATTCTAGCTGCTGAAATGCCTCACTTCCCACCTTACTTACCACGAGTCATACTTGAACCTAAAGGCATCGGCAGCATCGGGGTCGGAATGTACTGTACTCCAAAACCTCGATGCTGCATCCGAACGGTACCCCTTCGGCAGAGAGCAGCCTAAGCTCATGAACCATGCATAATGCTGCATAAGTCCAGGGTCATGTGTAGCATCGCGGGGAAGCTGGTCCAGATGTGGTTTTTACATGTTCGGATCCCACACATGTCAAGTGCTGCAGTATTGGGTTTTCAACGGTAGCTGCAGTCATGCAGTCATGTGCCCATGCAGGCATGCTTCATGCACGTATCTACGCGTCCGTGCCTGTACTTTCGGGAACTATCATAGGGATCCTTAGGGGTGTAGGGGGGAGGGGTGTAGGGGACTATATTTCCTTAAATAGGCCTTATTAGTCCTTATTATGGGCCTTAAAGCCCCCTACCCCCCCTCCCCCTACACCCCTAAGGATCCCTATGAAACTATAGGTCTTACAGGGTGAGGCTAAGTTGAGCTGCCTTTCACCGAGTTCTGCATGTATTCCGTGCAGAGTAGAAGCCATGGAGTTGAAGATCACTCTTCTCATGTGCTTGCCGTGAGGCAACTGAATTACAGATCATCCCAGTAGTCTTCATTCATGCTGGAACTTACCTGGGAATTTCGGGTACCTCATATTGGGGTCCTTCTAATAAGGATCCTACTATTTCGGGTGCTAGTTTAGGGTCCCCTATTTTCGGAATCTCCCATCTGTTGTCAAGCACTAACCCTGAACCCCAAGCTAATGGTTCAGGCAATCGGAACAGAGGCCACCATAGAAGCCTTGATGAATGGTCCTCCGAAGCTCGGCTGCCTTGTGGTAGACTAGGTAGCGGTTCACGTTTGTGGGGATATTATAACCCCCCATGTAATCCCACAGCTAAGCCTTCGGTTCCCTACGTAAAGGATCCGGGACAAGTGAGTTTAAGGTTGAAGAGTTTAGGTCACGTGCTTTCCGTTCGCGTGTGGCCCAGAGGCCCAAAGCCGTCGAACCTCAACCCCTGCAAGACCTCAATTTCGATTAATAAACCCACACGATCAGACATGCACCAAGCTTTATGCTTGAATCCTGATCTTTTTCTTCTGCGTACCCGAACACGAGCGTGCAGTGCTTTTTGTTCAGCCGGTCTGACTTGGTCCCTAAGCCCATATTTCCCTTCGCCCAAGCCCTCCGAAAAGAGCAATGTACTCCTAATGTGCTTGCTAATTACTACGAACCTCGCTACACCTACGCCTGCTCCTACTCACTTTGTCATAGTTGGGTAACATTTTAAGTTTTTATGGGTACTTAAACCCAATAAGGAATAAGCATTTTAATTCTTAACCCTATCCCAACCATGCCTAAACCCTAAACCCTAAAATTAGCTCAGACTCTTGGCCCCAACATCTCCTGGAGTGCTACTCCCACGAAGACGTCGTCTTCGACATCGGTTTCAATTTCGACAGCAACCACAACCACAACCACAACAACAACAGCAATGCTGATTAGTAGCAATAGCAATAGCAGCAGCAACAGCAACAACAGCATAAACAACAACAGCTACAACAACAGCAGCGACCATGACGGTGACGACGACTACTAGTACGCCTCCTCCTCCTCCTCCTCCTCCTCCTGCTCCTCCTTCTCTTGCTGCTGCTGCTGCTTCCTCTTAAGCTGCTATGAGTATGTTGTGTTTGCTGCCATGGTTTGTCATACGAACGTCGCTATTATGACGAGTGTGATGACACAGTTGCTCTACCTTTACTGGTGGAATTGCTGGGAGTTTCGACTCTTTCAGCCAGACAGTTGTCAGCTTCATAGAGCCCGTAGCTAGACGTTCCGAACTCACAATCGCCCAAACTTTGCTTAGGGTTGAGGCTTCAGGATTGTGTTTCAGGCGTGCTCTACTTTCGAGTAAAGTTTGAGCTCTTCAGTTTATAATATCTGAGGGTGCGGCGGACTTACTGAGTTGGTAGTTCTTTCATTTACTTGTTTGTGTCACGGCTTAAGACTCTACTTCGTAAGAACTGTCATAAACAGTAATTCCTACCTAAGACAGAGTAGGTAGCAGTGACCTATCCGCATCTTGGAGGCTTCGCGATATCTGAAACGTCTGCCTAATATGGGGGCCTTAATAATTACCAATTGTACTATTTTGGGGGTTCCTTTTTGTAATTATAGTATAACGGGCGCGAAAACCCGATCTAAATATCAAGCCTCCTATATTACGCATCAGCGGGCTACGATGCCGGTTGAAGGCCTAGGACTAATTTCATTGTAGGGCGGGGTGGTTTAGGGGTTTAAGTTTAGGGTCTAGGGATCCAATGTTGAGGATTCGACATCTTTGGACCTACGCTACGGTTCTTTGTTTCCTGAAGCTTGAATTTGAAATCGCTACTCGGCAAAGCTCCATGTTACCATCATAGTTTAATGATGTCTCCCGAAGGCCACTAGACAGGACATATGTATGCGTTCGTATATACATAAGTTAATAAAATAAACATACACATATACATATATATTTATATACATATTTAAGATCTATCATCTATCTACGTGTCTTTCGCTCCCTCCCTCTCCGCCTCTGTCTCCCTCCCGTTCTCTCCCTCTCTCTCTCTCTCTCTCTCTCTCTCTCTCTCTCTCTCTCTCTCTCTCTCTCTCTCTCTCTCTCTCTCTCTCTCTCTCTCTCTCTCGCTCTCTCTCACAGAGAACCTCCGATCAGCGATCCTTCTGCCAGGAAGCACGCGATCCTTGGCGACTCCTGCAGTCAGGCCTGTGCCGCAGTGGCGGATGCCGCGCGCCTCTTCAAGGTGCGCTTTCAGGATTCATGGTTTAGGGTTTAGGGTCTTGGACTGTGTCTGACCTGACCTTGTTCAGAGAACAGGTGCGACAGGGATTCGCACAAGCCCGTGCAAAAGAAAGGGTGTTCAAGACGTCGGATCTGCACGTAGGATGTCCGGTAGAGTTCACTGAATGCGAGCTGAAAGCTTATTAGCCTAAGCGCTGGACTAGCGCTTAAGTAGGAGGCCTCGAGGGCACAGGCGTGCATCTGCGGTGGTTCGTACAGTGTCCCTAAGTTTAAGAGCCAGTATCACGATCAAGCCAGTCATAAAACAAAGGCTATACCCAGAGGCTCCATAGTAGTTCCTTTTTGGGATTACCTTATAGGATTCTATATACGAACCCCAAACAAGAACTACTATGGAGCCTCTGGGTACCTCCACCAAAAGTGGAAGTACCGATCTGGTGGTTATGTTCTCCGGAGAAGTACATGCTCTATTGGTACTCGGACCAATGGGCTCCCCCAAAACCCAAAAACCCCTAAACCCTACACCCCTAAACCACTAAACCTAAGGCCTAAACCCCATTAACAGGTTCTGTGGTTTATTGGTGCGTCGTTGGCAAACAACTCCAAAGCCCCACGTAGTTGCAGCTTCACTCAGCAGACCTCGAACCAGATGCCTCGCCTGGATTGTCCGAGCGTGAGCGCTGAAACCCTAAACCCCTAAACCAGATTTCTAAACCCCTGAACCACACATGCTAAACCCCTAAACCAGAAGCCCTAAACCCCTGAGCCAGAAACTCTAAACCCCTGAAACTTTAAACCCCTACTAAACCCTTAAACCAGAAACTCTAAACCCCTAAGCCAGAAACTCTAAACCCCTAGATCCCTAAACCCTAAACCCCTAAAACCTAAATCCCTAACCCCTATTAAAAACAACCCTGCTAGACCCCAGGTGCTTATGGTATCACCAGGCTGCGACTCGCCCAGCCTCAGCGATCGCACGCGATACCCGTACTTGACACGGATGACTCCCTCGGACCGTTTCAAGGTCACTGCTGTCTACGAGGCGACGAGGTTTCTACCCATAGCCTCCATAGTAGTTACTTGTTGGGATTACCCTATAGGATTCTAAATATGAATCGACCACAGCAAGGAACTACTAATGAGCCTCTAGGTACACCAAAGGGTTTCTTCTCAAGACAACCGGTCGATAATTTCGATTGCTTGCAGAAGGGTTGGGCTGTCGCAGGTGATGAAGATGTTCTCGTTCCACCGCGTTGGCGTGATGGACGGACCTCCCTACACTGCAGGCGCCAAGGACTTTTTCCTGGAACTGATTCAGCGGGACCTGGATGCAGGTACCTATGGTTGGACGGTTTTGCTGGACAGAACCGTTGGCAGTCCTGCCGATGCCATCAGTGTAGCGGATGAAGTCCTTGCTCGTGATTCGCGAATCAACCTTATGGTTCTCCCGGAGTACATGGGCATGTGGGTTCTGTGCCAGTTCTTCTTGCGCGACATGCTTCCACCGGACCGGTGTGTTTCGGAGCCTAGAGCTTTGGCGGGGTCCGCAGGGGCACAGATTTGAACCCGATTTGGAGGGAGTTCTCAGTGAGGTGTTCAGAGAATCAGCTTCTGGAAGCTTCGCGGCACCCACCCAATGCCTCGGGAGCACAACCCCAAAGCCAAGCTTCCCCAAATGCCTCTCACAGCCTGACACCCTAAACCCTACATCCCAAACCCTTAAACCCTAAACCCCATAGGCCTCGCCTGGATTGTCCGAGTGTGAGCGCCGAAAACCCTAAACCCATAAACCCTAAACTCCTAAACCCCTAAACCCTAAACTTCTAAATCCCTAAACCCTAAACCCATCTACATCAAGCACAAACTCATGCTTCTGTTAAGGCCTGGCGGTCTTCGTGCTAGCAACCTGGGCCCTGCTGCAGAACCACAGTCGCCCTAACCATCGGGAACCAGGCTCCCAAACCAATATAGGGCCTTAATAATATAAATAGGGCCTTGTCGCATATTATTCTGTATTTACAACAAGGAGCCCCCAGAAAATTTTAGGTAATTTCGAAAGGCCCTATTTTATGTTCGTCAGTATGGTCATCCGGCAGTATCCTGAATCTTAAACCGAACACCTGCAACTTGACACCCTTACAGAACCCGTAAACAAAACCCCAAGCACGAGCCGGACCAATGTGCAATTCCCGAGAGCTCTGTCTTAGCCCGTTTTATCTCAGGAAGTTAGGATTTCGGTGCGATGCCGTATAATCGTGCGGCCCCACTTGTTTCGCGATGGTTGTAGTGCGTGGAGGACTATGTCTGGTTCGTCGCAGCTTTCGGCAACTGGGTCAATGGAGTCACAGCAGTCGTGGCTGAGACCGCCGCAACTTGAAAGGATGTCAGGATGCAACAAACTGCTCCGATACCCTAAACCCCGAAACCCTAAACCCCTAAAATCTGAATCAAGCAACTTCGAAGCCTTCAAGAGGAGACCGGTGTTGATAGACCGTAGCGATGATGCAGTGGCCAAAAATAAAGAAATTGGTTTTGTTGTTGTTCATGGTGTCTTCCGTCTGTTTTGCTGCAGTGCTCCTCCTCTGCAGCTTCCTCGGCCCTGGTGGTCACTCCTCCTTTTCTCCTGGCATGTGATCATGATGATGCGTGATTTTTAACTCTGCCGCTCGTCTCCTCTACCACGATTAATGTCGTCCTGCTGCTGGTGGTGATGATGGCGATGGCGATAGCTTAAAACCTACACCAGGAAACTCTAAGCCCTAGGCCTAAGCTCCACACCGTAGGCGTACCACCACCACCACCACCACCACCACGACTACTACTACTACTACTACTACTACTACTACTACTACTACTACTACTACTACTACTACTACTACTACTCCTACTCCTACTCCTACTCCTACTCCTACTCCTACTCCTACTCCTACTCCTACTCCTCCTCCTCCTCCTCCTCCTCCTACTACTACTACTACTACTACTACTACTACTACTGCTACGACTACCACTGCTACTACTACTACTATTATTATTATTATTACTACGACTACTACTACCTACTTTCACTACGACGACTACCGACGACTACTACTACCTACGACCTCAACACAAGGAATGCCCATGCACAGCGACGCAGCTGGCCAGGGTTGCTGGCGGTCTCATGATGCTCGGTTAACCTGAAGGGTCTTACGACCCCTTTTTCGGCACCTAGATCTATGGTATGTTATTTGTCGTAAAGGAAAGCTACTTACCCCATTTTAGGCACCTAGATCTGTGGCGTGTTATATAGGAAGGTACGTAGTAGAATAAAGGGGTAGGGTATGACCCTTTGGGTAGGTATGTTCTAGGAAAGCAGGTAGCAAAACAAAGGGATAGGGTATGAGACAAGGTAGGTAGAGATTAGTTTTGGTTCCCGGGTTTGATCCACGGCTGTTAATTGAAGTGTGCTGACGGGGTCTGATCATTCTGTAGAGGTTTCGCAGATTCTTATTAAGAGGTTTTTGTAGGACTCGATGTTGGTTTCAATAATCGTGTAAGGGGGGTTGTAAGGGGGGGCTATGTGGTGGGCTGTGCAATGGCTTCCCGAGAGACTGTCTAGGATGTTGTTCGGTGGGTATTCCAAAGGTATTCCAAAGAGTTGTTCATGGCTTAATCAGCATGTATTCGCCCCGATAATGGCTTTCCAAGGTTGTATAGACGGCCTTGGCTGAACAGGGCAGTGCAAGTGTTTTATGATGTTGTTTCCCGGTTTTAGGCAAGTTAAGCTTCAGGGTTGAAGGGCAGCTGAATTAACAGCAACCTCGCCAGGATCAGTGGTCGGTCACCCATCCAAAGCACGAGTGATCTTCACGGCCTCTCGGGAACGAGACTCTCCGAGATTTCGAATTACTACAACACCGCCTGCCAGCAGTTTGCCAACGGACAGGGTGCATGTGATTATGTGTGGACGGGCTATTTCTATGATGGCCTTTGGCATTTAGTATCCTTGCTACACACCTACTTGATCGAGCAGAACCATTCCGCAGCAGAGTTGGGTACTGCATCCTCACGCTCGGCACTCTACGAGTTGTCTCTGAAGCAGGACTATGTCGGCTTAACGGGCCGGGTGCGACAGTTCAACACTATCGAGCCCACGACAGTCCCGCCTTCATATGGTGACCGAGATGGCGTTCAGCTCATTCGGCAAATCACCGGTGGAACGGGAAACGAGTTCAGCGAACTTGCGTACAGAACGGGAGACGGAGTGTGGTGGTTGCGTGATTTGCAGTGGAGTCCCTTCGACAACAACAAGGTGGTTCCCTGCAGCACAGGTGTTTGTAGCCTTGGTGACGCTTTCGTGCCCACGGACAGGATAAACCAGTGCCCCGCTGGCAGTGTCTTCTCAGTGCAGCTTGGCTGTGTCGACTGCGGCGTGGGTAGATATGCAACGGCGGGCATGACAGAATGTGAGCCATGCGATGTGGGCACTTTTGCCAACCAGACGGGCCGTGCCGGCTGCCATCCCTGCACAGCTGGTAGCTTCAACAACGTTCTTGGGGCGGAAGGCTGTGAGCTTTGCGGCCAGGGCTTCTTCGCAAACGATACAGTTTCTAGGCTGCATCTGGTTCCCGTTCAATGACGGTTTCATGGCTTCGGGTAGGGTCTTCTCACTCTCTCCCTCCCGCTCTTCGTCCATTCTAGAGTCGCTGAGTGAGATGGACTAATACTTGAGGCATGCTTGAGAATGCTTGAGATCACCCACACAAACGGTGGAGGGAGTGAACCAAGCATGATTATAATACCAAGGTAAAACCAAAGACTCAAGCCTCCGAGCAAACACAACACACCACAGCAAAAGCACCATTATAGTAATGCCAAAGACCCCAAACCGACCCAGGGGCGGGCTAGCCTGATCACATGAAGATTCTTCGTTTACGCCTATAATCTTTAACATACCTATAGGCAGTCATGTATGTGGGTGTACAAGCATCTATGCACACATAGATATATACATATTTGGGAGCTGTATGCATATGTATGTATATGTATGTGCATGCACGTGTATGGATGTGTATGCCACATGGATGAACGGACGGATGGATAGATGGAATTTTGTAATTATGCATGGGTGCCTGCTACGTCCGGCTGGTGCCTTTCAAACTCAGTTTGTACCTGCTTGCCTCTGATGTGTGCACCATCTTTCCTTAGCTTCTACCTGTCTTGCTTGATGTTTTGTATTGTTTTGTGCTGCGAAGCACCGAGGAAGCGACGGACTGCGCCAAATGCCCCATCGGCCAGTATGGCCCGCAGAAGGGACTTGCCGAATGCAGGGAGTGCCCACCCGGGAGGAGCCGACCGCAAGAGTTGAGGGTCTAGGTTAATTTGGGGGTTTCCGAAAATTAAGGGTACCTTACTTTGGGATCCTTATAAGAAGGATCCTCTTATTTAGGGAACTATATTAGGGTCCCCTGTTTTGGGAAAGTCCCATTTAAAGAAGGACTGAGGTAAGTCATCTTGCTCAATGGCCGGTTTCCCAATTCCTGGTTTGAAAAGTTTAATGCTTATTGGCTGTAAACTCAACTTTTCAATTTTTTGGGTTCTAAGGTAATCGATTCTGAAAGTCTCAACTTTAATTTCCTAGGGTTTTGGGCCAGTGAGAAAAAGTTTAATGGAGACTATAGGTAAAATCCCACCACGAAACTTGCAACAGACACTCCCCCTAGGTCCGTAAACCGTCATGCGGAAATCTTGAAGAGAGCTACCCTAAGCCCGTAACCCTCAATCCTAAACCCAACACCCTAAACCCTAAACCCAAGCCGGGAGGACCACAGGATTCTCGGGTGCTGTCGATCAGGAAGCATGCCAGTGCCAGGGCGAGTTGTACCAGGGCAGATGCACCCAGGCGGTAGTTTAGGGTTTAGGGGCACCGTAATTAAACCACCGTAACTACCATAACCATAGCCTACTTGCAGACATGAATCCCGACAAATCAAGAGTTGCGAGTCTAGGTAGGCTAACAATAGTTGGCAGGTGGTGGTAGTTCAACAAGTCTCATGCAAGCCGTGCGCTACGTCTTGCTGGCTGAGCAGGGATAGCTTTTGACTTGTTTCAGCTTGCATAACTCTACCATATCCAACCAATTTAAATGTTAAAGCCGTGATCTTAAGCCCTGGTTTCTGCACCCCACTAATACCCAACCTTAGACTTTTGGATCTCAAGCCGTTTCGTCTCTTGGAGCTCAGCAACTATAGGCATCACCTGCGCTTTCAACACACGCTACGCAGCCGGCCAATGTCTGCCATGCTCGGAAGGTTTGAGGCGCGTAGGGTGTAGGGTCAGATTGGGTTTTATAGGGGTGGCGACCGGATCAATACTTTTGGTTTCTCGCGTTTTGACTTTTAAAGTCTAGTCAAGTTTTATTAATTGCAGAGCAACTGTTATCATAAGTTACTACAGTGGTTGAGAGTGCCCAAGACAAGTCAGTCCAGGTGTGATGGCAGTAGCACGGCAGAGGTGGATCCTGGATACTACACAGATCCAAGTACCTTGGGATGGTTAACGAGGAAAATCCCTAAAAGCCCAAAGCCCTAAGCCAGTAAATTTTGGAGCCCTCAGACTCAGAATCCCGATGTGTGTCGATGTTCATGGGCTTATGCTGAGGAGACTTATAAGTAGGAGAACGGTAGTCGCAACCGACCCCTATGAAAGCCCTATGAGGGACTGCCTAGGGCTTAGGCTTGAGAGTGCCGATGTTCTTCTCATTCGTTCTTGGTAAGGAGCTTGAGTTCCGCTACCATATCAGCGGTCTATATAGTAAACCATATGGTGTCCTTAGCTTGTTATGGTACTTGTACCGTAAACTACATTCCTTAAATAAGAACCCAGTCTCGGTTCACTGAGGTGCTCCGTTTGACGTCTACAAATGTCTCCCTCAAGAGTTCTGTACCGGTGGATCGCCCGGGGCGTGTGCAGGCGGACGGGAAGGCATTCCCTGCACGCAGTGCCCAGAAGGACAGGCGTGGGCAGCGGGGGCGTGCGAGGATTGCACGCCTCTCAGCCTGGCTGGCTGGCTCACTGCTGGTCTTGCAGGTATGCTGACAATTCCGGCGCTCTACTACATGATGAACATGAAGCAGACTGCCAAAGCCACCACTATGCTGGCCACCTCATGTGCCCTGGCCATGACTATCAGCATGCTCCAGAACGTGGGCATCGTCGGATACATATCCTTCTCCTGGCCATCCGAGCTACAGTGGATGTTTGATCTCATGAGCCTTTTCACCCTGGACTTGCAGGCAGTAGGCTTCGATTGCGTATCCAGCTCGCCAGTCGCCGGCTACCACATGACGGCCGCCATGCTTCCCTGTGCTTTGCTTTGGCTCATCGTGTGCAGCCTACTCAGCAAGGTCCTCCCAATGCAGTGGCAGTTCGAGAGCGCGAAGGTCGTCAGCACCCTCGGGCAGTTCGTACAGGTAAGCTTCACGATCTACAGCAAGGCAGAGTCTCTCTCAAAACATGTCAAATCGGCTTAGCAGCTAAGTAGGTGACCTTGAACCGTTTGGGGTTCATATAATCCTCTCATGCTTGAAAACGTAACTCTAGGGGCCTAAAGAATTAATTACCTTTACCATTTTTTGGGGGTTCCTTCTTATAACTATAGTATAATGGGCCCCAAGAAGACCATTCTAATTATTCAGGTCTCAGGCCGAAGGTATGTGCCCGCACAAGACGCGTAAATGGCCCAGACTCCCTCTCCGGATGCTCGAGAAGCATATATCTCGGATAGGTCTTCACATGAATGATCCGAAGGTTGCTCTTTCTCCGATGATGTGCTATACGCACCCAAATGGGAAGAGTGGCATGCTGGAGCACAATGGCATCTTCTGTTTCGAGAGCGCCGAGCACACGCCCATGCATCTAGCCGATGGAGTAACAGACAGTTAGAACCCGACGAGAGTTGTGGTTTTGGGCCTTGGGTCTTACCAATCCAAGCAAATGATACTCTACTGCCCGTTCCCATGTGGCTGGGAACTGGAAAGACATGTGGGCGATTCGTTGTTGTCATGTGCGTTGATAGTTGTTGTTTCATTTGGTGGGATGCGTATGATGTGTGGTTTGTCCGGCATTGCAGTCGTTTGTCAGCGTGAAGCTACCTCCTGATGTTACACCAAAACTTCAAAGTAAGGCCCAAGCCCCAGAGCCCGAAACCTGAAAATCCAGTGGCCGAGATGACAAATTCCAGAGCCGTAAACTTTCAGCCGTGAAGCATCAATTGCATCTTTGGGATTCAATCTGTGTTCATGTCAGCATCAAAACGTAGCAGTTCCACACAAGGTCTTTCGTCGTGTGTGTGTGTGCGTATGTATATATAATTCCATATCCTCACAAACATGGAGATGAATGGATGTCAAACACACGCACACACACACACATGTATATGTCTTCATTGTTCACATGTTTGTTATGTGAGTATGTACATACACACACAGAGGCATACAGCTACAAATGTGCTTGTGTTTTTTTAGGCGTCATTATTTCTCGCTCATTCAAGGTTCTTGGCAGGACTGGGACTTCTTTGCGGTATGGTTGGCAACTTCGTCGCAGTTTTTTGCTTAAGGGTTTAATTGGGACAGTTCACAGTCACCGTTTCATCAATCAATATACTACGGAATCGAAGTTAGACTGTTTTGACACTTCAAGCTTATCTTGTTTTTGTGGCCTATGGTGCAGCATCCGTGCATGCACATGTTTCAGTGGCTAACTGCTTCTTCGTTCTGAAGTAGACAACTTAGTTACAAGGAGCTACATGTTGGACCTTCTTGCTTACAGAAGCTGGCAATGAAAATACATTGGCCTCAGTTCGGATTCACCGGAGATTGTGCTTGCGGGTTGTTTAAAGGATTGAGGGCTAACGGCTCCAAATTCTAGCCTTGGGGTGCTGGTCTGCGTAGACCGACAAGGAACTCGAAAGCTTTGGCATGCTGTTCTCTTGCTGCTGCCAGTGTCCGTTTGTGTCACGCGTTGCGGTGGTTTCGTTTTCCGCGTGGCCACTTGCATTCCGATGGCACGGATTGATGGATTCCCAGAGTATCTACCCTTGCAGATCAGCAGGAAATCAACAATTTCCATGCTTAAGTGGTACAGGCCTTGGCTGAGAAGCCGGACATCATACAATCTTCCCACCGCTATCAACGACCTCCTAGACCACTCTTGCAAAAATCAGCGGGCTTTCATTTCAACATCGAACTTAATACCCACCCATCTGATAACAACAGTGATCTGGCCCCCCCACAGGCTTTTATGCGTTGGCCATTTGGGCCACGATCGTAGCACCTTCCAAAGCCTCTGGTGGCAACATTTGGCTACCGGACTCGCATCTGTGGTGACTGAGATTCCCGGAGGCTCCACACATACAACCACTATGCAAGTAGGCTTCAACACACCATCCTGAAAATATGCGCGGGGACGTAATTTTACACTTGTATACATGGGCCCTCTTGGATTGCTTCGGGACTTTTGACTTGAAGTTTCTTAGAGTGGGGATTAGGACAGGCTCTTGAGATACCCTCGGATTCGACACACCTCACTCTGAAACGATTTAGGGCTCTAGGACTTCATGGCGTCTTGTAGGCGGAAGTAGAAAAGACTCATAAACTATATAAGTGACAAGTACATCTTGGACCATAGGGCCAGGTTAAAGACAACCATCCATGCATGATGTTGAGCTTCCATGTCATTTTCAGGAATGTGTGAGGGGTTGGGCAAGGTGGGTCTTTGTTGTAAAGGTGTTTGCGGCGAACTTCATGTCTAATCACTCACGCTCCGGTACACGGGTGTCTCAGGATTTGGGGGCTTTGGTACGACATTGTACGATCCTTAAGAGCCCGGAGGAAGGACTCTTACGGCCTTAGAAGTCCCATCAGCGCAGAAATGCTTGACTTGAGCGACAGGTATTGAACCTCCAGCAGCCCCAGTCAACGGCAAGCACACCCCCACGTGGTGAACTTCCAGACGGCTTCTGCATACCCCGTGCTATGCCCATGAGCATTCTTAGGTTAAAGGCAATTCACGTTTCAGGCCACTCTGCACTACAATCCACGCGTACTTGATGCGGATACATTTTGCATTGGGACTTTGTGTGGTCCTCGAATCCTAAACCCAAGCCCAACCTGTCCAGGCCTCGGCTCCTTTTGGTTCGGACAAAATTCTGTAAAGTTATCCCAAACCCCCGGCAGTCCCAAACCCCAAAGACTAAGCCTTACCCCAAAACCCTAACACTGAACGCCTGAAGCTGCAGCTCTCTATCCCCAATATCCCTAAACCTTAAACCGTGGCCTCTACCCCACCCTTGAAGCCGATGGAAAATCCTCTGCTCCCCAAGGTTTCTTACCGCCACAAAGTTCTTACTCTTCCGCTTCCGCAGCGACTATTGGTGGTTTGGTACCTTCATGCTCCTAGGCTCACCATTCCCCCAAACCCCAACCCTCCTTCATGCTGCTAGGTTCAACATGCAAATGGCGAATTGCCAGCGAAGATTGGTGGCCTGTATTGTTTTGTGCCAGAGTTTGCTTTCTTGATACCGCCGAACACATAAGGTTCGTTTGTCCATTGCCTGTGGCTCGAGTCAGACTATGGGCAATTCGCATGTTCACAGGGTGAGTGCATGAGGCCATCTCAACCTTGATGAGCCTTGGTGTTGGGGCCTTTCTCTTTCGCTGCTTCTGTTGTGTCGGGCTCTTATGCTCCCTGTTCGTTTTGGTCGCTGCCTGTGCTACTGCTGATGGACAAGATCCTGCATTACCCATTAGAAGGAATATGCCATAACTCCCATAGTTTAGAGTCCTAAGGGTCATGCAGGATTTTTATCATCAACCGTAGTACTGACTGCGTTTTTGTTGGACTCTTGTTCTGAGCAGCCCATCTCCATCTTCGAGGCGCCGAAGATGCGCTGAGCCTTCCGTTGGGGATGCGTGGCTAGTGGCTACCTATAGTCTCCATTCTAGTTCCTTTTCTGGGTTAACCAGTTTTATGGTTAGGATCCTACAACAGAGATTTTGGCTAACCAAAACAAGGAACTACAATGGAGACTATGGGTAGCTGTTGCTTTCCTCCCCATCGTACAATGTTACAAGAACAAGACACCAACCCTCAAGGCATGGAGCCAAGGGTTTGTGGGTTCGGGGTACAGAAACAGAGATAGGCTTTGAGGTAGAGGTAGAGCCCTTTGACTTAGTGTCAGGGGGGGCTATATAGTCGATATTTTAGTATCTCATACAGTTTTTCATCTGTATACACACACACACATATATATATAGTAGTCAGATATATGGTTTAACAGATCTTATGTATTCTATAATACTCTTTGGTTTATTTAGCCCGGCCCTGACTGGAGGTTGCCTCGAGGCCTTATGCTGTCGCTGTCTATCGTCGCTGCCGGAGACAGCCCCTATGTGCAGGTGCCTGGCCGGTTTAAACCTCAACTTGTGGCTTAGGGATCAAGGGTTTAGAGAGAGAGAGAGAGAGAGAGAGAGAGAGAGAGAGAGAGAGAGAAAGAGAGAGAGAGAGAGAGAGGGTTTAGGAGGCAGAGGCTTTGCAGGCTGGACGCCAAAAAGGGGTTTTGGAGGCGATATGTTGGAAAAGGAGGCGATGAACCCCTCAGCCCTACGTCACAACTACGCTGAATGACGTGGGAGTTCTGTCGGGGAAATCCTGACGTCACCAGTAAGGCAAGGAGGTTCCTTAAACTACCTGAGAAGTTTGAGCAGGTCCCCTCCTTGAACTCTATAAAGAACCGGCCATTTTCAAGATCTAGAAGCAAGTCAGTCAGACTAGGGAACCCTAAGAAGATAGGCTATTCCATTGTCAGGATCGTGCTTGAATGTTCATCTTGGAAGGATTAGAAGTGTGCTTCGAGATGGACATATGGATGAGCCCAACATTGCTTGACCCTTTTCCCAGCTTCTGCCTTCCCCGTAGTCTGATACCTAGGTCCTTGAGCGGTTCCCTTTCGCCCTTTGTGTTTTGCTGCAGTCACTAGTAGAGAAACTGCGCCTGCTAAGGGCAGGAACCAAGCAAGTCACATGCCTAATGTACAGATTGCCGTGAGTGGTTGTGCGTACGCTTTATCGGGCCAGCAGACGAAGAAGCTGGGCTCAAGCCGCTTCTTCCGTGTTCTTCTTGCCAAGTGGTAATTGAATTTACTTGCAGGGTCCTGCAAAGCATTTGCAAGCACTGCCTCACTCACGAAATGTTTTTTCTGTCCAGGGCTTTGAAGACTCGTATTCTACGGACATTGGGAACAAGGACGATACTATGACGGGCTTGTGGGCTGCGCACGTTAATGTGAAGCCCCTCTGTGTGTTTAGATTGCAGGCCAGTCCATACCCTGACCCCATAACAGGGGCTCTGAAGGCTTGATAGTATCCTTAGGGGTACTTAGAAATATTTTTCAAATTTTGGTTATTATAATCCCCAAGAAACAGCTAAACTTGTAATTTTTGCTAGGGTTCTAAGTTCACTATAGGTATCATTGGAATCATTCCCGAAGGCTCTCCAATGTGCTTATGGTAGCCTTAGTCATAGTCTGATCATCCTTTCGGGAGTTTACTTCAGTATGGCTGTTCCCCAGCGTAAGGCGGGTCGTAGTACCAAGCTTTCAGATCCCTACTGAGACTGCAGACACCCGTTTTGGTCTCCCTGCCCAGATGTTGCTCATTGTGTCGGTGATGCTTTGCTACATGCTCCCGGGCCGCTATTAGAAATGTTCATGCTAAGTTTTCGTCTAAGTCAAGAGTCCAAAAAGGACCAAGAATAGCCCTCACTTTTCAAACTTCCGTAGTCGCAAGGACTAGCAACCTCTTGAAAAGGGCTTCCCGCCCTCAAATAGAAACCTAAGACGTACGCCTTATAGGCCTCTGTCAAGACTTGAATCTTTAGCCCTGGATCCTTGTAAGGACTCTTGTTGAAATCTGTACAGCACCAGAAGGCAGTTGTGTTAAAGGAGCCCTATACACAAAGCCAGAAGACATACTGCACTTGAACACTGTAGTTGTTAAGCCCGGGATCCTTAAACAAGACCTTCGAGCCATCAGAATCATAAACCCTATATATAAGCCCCGTACAGCCACAAGGTCGATCCGCTATAATTCTAGAAGCCCAAACCCCAACCTTCAGCCTTTAACCCTAACGCCTTCTAGATCCTAACCTTACTTAGTAGCTCAGTGGATACACTTTACACTTTTTGGGATAATACTACCCACTATAAAACTGAAAGTGTGAACTCTTTCGGGCTTATGAACTCAGCAACTAAGCTTAAGCCCAGCATCCACACAGGCTTGTATGGTAACCTGACAGGAAGAGCATTCTTTTGAAGCCCTACAATTGGCATGTGCCAAAGTGTTCATGCCGTTCCTGTTGTTTGAAGCTTCCCCATAAACCTCGTCTGACTTGTCGAGCACGAGTGACAAAAAAAGCCCTACAACCCACTGAGGGCAGCTCCCTTCAAGGAACCCTATGCAAGGCCCATAAGCCCCAATTGAGAAGGCAATACGTATTAGTTCCTAAGCCGCACCACGAAACCCTAAACACGCTTCCTGCAAACCCTAAAGCAAAACGCGAAAGTCTGTAGGACCAACCGTGAAGCCTACCTGTAGTTTCCATTGTGATCCGTTTTCGAGATATATAATACTATTTTATAGCTGGTTAAACCCAGAAAAGGAACTACAACGGAGAGTCTAGATAGACCCTAAGCCCTAAACCCTAAGCTCTAAAGCCTTCAGGATCGTGCAGCTCATGACCTGGCCATGGAAGTTGCCGGCCCTGAACGCCTTCGATGCAACCATCAGCGCCTCCCTCGTTTCTTTAGGGCATTCCTGGCGGGTTCCTGTAGAGACGCCTTCTTGAGGATTCATGTAAAGGCGGCTTTCAAGGGTGACCTGTAAAGGCGTCGTTTAAGGGGTTCTATGGGGGGTTTCGATAAGGTTCATGTGTTTTGGGTTTTCTAAGGCCTCAGAAGGGCTGGTTAGGATATTGCTAATGTCTTTCTAGGCGCCCTACAAGGCTTGTTGCATTCCAACACAACACCTATCGCCCTGATGGAACCTTGCAGAAGGCTTACCGGTTGGAGTTGGAAAACGGCGGGTTATGGGATTCTAAGACACTCCTCGCTTTGACTAGGATGGTTCTATTCGGGATCCATTCCCAGACGGTCCATGAATACTGCCATTTAGGCCCCCAAAACCATCATAGGGATGGTCTTTCCGGGCCTAATTCCATAGTGGTAGTATATGTGGACCTTCTGGGATGCAAGCCACCAGAAGTCTGTAAGGATTACTTTCAGGGTGGCTGCAACAAAAGGGGCCTATGGGTTCGTGGAGAAAGCCTCAACCTAAAACCCTACAGCCCTAAACCTATAAGACCTTAAAGCCCTAAACCTAAAACCTCAAAACCCAAACCCCTAAGCCCTAAAACCCTAAACATCTAAGACCCTATAAAGCCCTATACCTAAAACCTCAAAGCCCTAAACCCTATAAGCCCTAAAGCCTTCAACCCGGAACCCGAAGAAAGGCGCAGCTCTGATCATGATGATGGCTATCCTCGGAGCCTTCGCGCCAGACCTCAGCACCGGCATCCAGAGTAGGCCAGGAAGATCCGAAAGGTCGAGGATTTAGGGTTTAGGGGTTTAGGGACTAGTGTTTAGGGAATCGGTGCTTACCCATAAGCCCCATAGTAGTTCCTTTTTGGGATTACCTTATAGGATTGTATATATGAACCCCAAAAGGGAACTACTCATAGATATATCCACGTTTATCTGAGTCCGCATGTCTGTACATCGGTCTTGATGTTTGTGCATATGATTTCGAGCCCACTGGCAAAGCACTAAACTCCAAACCCTACAAGCCCCAGACTCCCCCTAAACCCTAAACCCTAAACTCCAAACCCGTTACCCACTGCAGAGGCCCCAACCACAGGCTCAGCCTGGTAAGGCATTCCCGCTAACCAGTTGGAAAAGAGCCCTTCAAAAAAAAAAAAAAAACTCCAAACCCTAGAAGCCCCAGACTCCCCCCTAAACCCTAAACTCCAAGCCTGGCAAGCCCAAGACTCCTAAGAACCCTGCAAGCTACGAGCTGGGAGCAGTTGAGCCTGGCAAGGCTCACGACTGCCGTGCTGGGCATCGTGCTTTTTCTGAGCCTTGGAAAGTGTAAGGCTCCTCTGTAAGGGCCCGGTTCCATGAGGGTCTAAAGTTCGAGCTTTTTTTGTGAGCCTTGTGTTGGTTTGCCGTCTCTTTAAGGTTGGGCCAAGTTTTTCCGCTTTCAGTAAACCCTCAATTTGTCACTGGCGCTGGCAAGCTCATGTTCATGTGCATGCTGAACCATGAGACCCCACGCCGAGCTTGATTGAGGAATGGCATTGTCTTCCTCATGCTTTGCGTGACAGTCTCCAGCCTCGTTCGTGGCTTGGCTTGAGCTGCAGCGTTCACGAGTATTTACTTGGGCCCCTAGATTGACCTCTCTCGTACAACATTGTCGTAGGACCTGTTATACCAAGATTGAGAATCCTCGAACGGGCCCCTGAGCTTAAACCACAATCATCATCTGCAACGCTGGGGGAGGTTTGAGGTCAGAACCAACATTTCCGGCTCATCTAAAACAACTTTCAACAACCTGGGCCCTGTGCCTTCAAACCGTAAATGCCGGAATCGCATCGCAATCATCTGAACCCGAAGACTGCTTAACTGGGTTCTTGTGAAGGAGGTTTGTTTAAGTTACAATACTGAGGAAACCCAATTTTCCACTATAGGTCCCCATATGGTAACTTTAATCAAGTTCCTGAGCAGGAATCCAGAACAAGGGACCCTGAACCCTGAATGCTGAACCTTACATCATATAGATCCCCTTAGAACGGAACCCCCTATAGAAACTCGAGGAACCCTGACTTAGTAGCGGAATAGGTAACCTTTAACTTTTCGGGGTTCATATAATCCTATTGAAACTGTGAAGGTTGGCGTTTTTTGGGCTGCGATACTCAGCCTCGGAGCTTATAGAACCCAGGGTTTGGGGTTTAGGGCCCAGCCCAAGGCATTCAGGCGATGGGTGGCTCGCAGGAGAGTACTCTCTTGGCACTCGGAGCCGCGCCGTGAGAAGAAGGGCTTAGGGAGTAGGGATTAGGAGGAAGGCTGCATGGTTAAGGGAGTAGGCTTTAGGGACTTCAGGTTTGGGCATGTGCCAGCCACTGTGCAAAAAGGGTTGAGAGGAAGGATCTGCAATGACAGTGAGAGCTTTCTTGCTTTAGTGCTGAGGACTTCGGGGTATTGCTTTGGTTCTGTGTTTCGGGTTTTGGGGTTTGATGGAACTTAGAAAGTAAGTGCTCACGTACACAGTTTTCCGGCTTATCGACCAGAGGGTAGTCTTATCTAGACTGTGGGGTGTGTTTGGACATGGAAGACTTTTGCAGAAGGCTTTGGGGTCTCTTCGTCGTGGTATACACCGTAAGAAAGCCAAGAACGGGTTAGGTGCGAGGTTTGAACAGGGGCTCACTAAGAACATTTGCGAATATGTGATTGCCACGTTTCAGCTCTGTTTTCCTCTTCAAAGTAGGGCAAGCCGTCGATGATGTCTACCCGAAGCCCACTTGCCATCCGTCCACTCCATCGTGTCAGCTCTGGTTCAGGAAAGATTCCGAAGCCCAGCACCCTCAGTGAGAAACTGCATCTCCTGTGCAATCGCATCGAGGACACGTGTTGGGGTTACGTGCAGTCTTCGAGTAACGCGAAAAGACATGTGGGCGATCAGACTCCGGTGTGTTCGGCCTAAGTCGATTCCGTCAGTGATCCACAATTCCGAGACGCTCACCTGCACACCTAAGCCTCTTAAGCTGATGTTGCATGTTCAGATCTTTCTGAGGAATACCGAAATTTTCGCTGACCGGTACATGCTCGTGCATGCAAATCTCCAGCTGCGAGTCCGAAAAACTTCTTTGAACTGTTCAGAGGTAGGTCGTCATCGGACTCTGCACCCAGTACTACGTGAAAAGATTTTTGGTCGCCCCCCGACGTACGCCTCCTCCGTGAAACTATGCTCCAGGCAAGTAAGAAACCTTAAACCTTTGTCAGAAGCAGCGCAGAAGGGTCTCTGTGTCCCGAAGCCCACAACCCGCAATCCCGAATGCCACAGCCGTATTGCCCGAATGCCTGCGTTCCGACCCATGTTAACGTGATACATCATCTTACCTTTCGGCAGGACTTGGGTGAAGATGGCTTGACGGAGGTGTTGAAGATGCTGAATCGGCAAAGTCGGGTTTAGTTCTTCCGCTTAGCGCCACGGGTCAAGGAATGGAGGCTTAGGGTGCATAGAGTTTCGGGATTAGGGCTTACCCATAGGCCCCAAAGTAGTTCCTTTTTGGGACTACCTTGTAGGATTCTAAATATGAACCCCCAAAAGGAACTACTTTGAGGCCTTAGGGTAGTCTTGACTTCGAGGCCTCTAATTCAAGTCTGGTCTTCATTGCATGGTGTTCGCAGAACCCGGACTTTGAAACACCTAAACCCTAAACCCTAAACACCTAAACCCTAAACACCCGAACCCTAAACCCTAAACACCTAAACCCTAAACACCCAAACCCTGAACCCTAAACACATAAACCTTAAACCCTAAACTCACACCTAAAGGACTTCCAGGTAGCCTTCATGCCCAGCTCTGGGCGCACCAGAGTCGCAGCCGTCAGTGGTTGATAAGCTATTGTTTAGGGTTTAGGGTGATATAAGGACCAACAATCCGACTGCATCACAAGTATAATTGATGATGATCATCATCAGAGCATATCAGAGTGAGAGGAGAAGAGGTACTCAAGGACACGACTGAGCCCAACCTCTCCGACAAGCGCAACATCGAAGGGCAGAGCCGCCGCCGCCACCACGATCAACGGCCACCTCTCCTAAACCCGAAACCCTGAACCCCTATAAATTCCTTACAGATCCCTTTACAGGAACCCCTAAACCCGAAGTACGGTAGCAATGCCGGAACAAGAGTGACAATGCCAGATCCGCCGGCGAATCATGCAGTGTAAAGAGCAGCAAAGCTTAGCATGCCGACTTCAGCCACGAATAGACCAAGGCTTAGTCGACTAAGGCAGCGATCCCAAGTGCAACTTCAGAGTTGCAACCAGACTAGTTTAGGCGTTCCTTACTATAACTATGGTATCATACAGGTATACCCCAAACACCCTATTCTAATTCTTCAGGCCCCTAAAGTACCCTTGAGCCATTTCAAAGCATCCCGTGGAGCTCCTCCTTGCAGAGCCCGCAATAGAAAGGGAGCCATAAACTACATGGTAGTTATCAAAATTAGGGCCCCTTTTTGGGTACACTGAATATTAGGTGCCGTATTATAATCGGGACCCAAAAAGGGACCATAAATTTGACAACCACCCATATACTATTTTCAAGGTTCAAGTAGTCACTCTTTATGGTTTTGGGTACCTAAAATGGCACAAGAGTCCTATAGTATTGGATACTTGGACCCTTAAGGCTAGATGACTCTTCGAAGCAGCTAGGTCCTATACATCCGCATCCAAGCAGGGATTGGGGACCTTACCGATGGATTTCTGAGTCTTAAAACTGAGTTTCGAGACATACTCTAAACCCTCATCAAACCACATGTGCGAGCCCAACATACAAACGCCGAAGGAACTTGTCCATCTATGATCTCCGCATGGCCGCACAAATCGTCACAGCAATTGGCTCAGAGGCCGTTTTCATGCAGGAAAAGTGTCGACGGTTTTCGGTTAATTAATGGTAATCAGTGCAACCGATTTTGGCAGGAGCAGTTTTCAAAGGGGGGTAGGGAGGCACTGGATTTAGGGCTTCGGGGTGCCTAGGGCATGTTCGATGGGCGGGGGTGTTGGGTGTGCGCGTGTTACAAGTAAGCCTGAAAACAGATGATCAACATTGGAACAACGTGTATTCGTCGACGCGGGCATGACTACCGACAACCGTCCACATAGTAGTCCAGTGCATTGGTCCGTAGCGCCGATTCTGAGTCTTGGTGTGGGTGTGTCTGAACGAGTGCTGGCCCAGCAGGCATCGCATTGCATTCCTTATGAAACCCTGAACCCCTTAATACGGAGCATGAGTTTGAGGGGAGGTTACCTCTCCTTCGCATGCTGCTGTTGCAAGCCAGGTCGGTGAAAAGCGACTTGTTCTGTCACGCCGTTCGCAGCTGATGTCGACGAACTCCAACATTGATCTTGCGGTGCGCCCTGCATCATTTGGGGTTTGACGTTTAGGGCTTTGCTGAAGGCCTTGTTGGGCCATCACGGAGGTAAGTTGAGGCAACTCGTGGGTTGTAGTCGCTGAGTAGCCAAGATAGGCATATCCAGCAGGACCAGGACGAGCTTTGAAGAATGGCAGTCTTGGACCATCAACTCAAGCGCGGGTAATGACATGCATGATCACTCTGGTCCCACAACGGTTCGGTCTGAGCTTTTCTGGCTGCGATCGTGTCTTTGGCACTTGGATTCCTCAGACTTGCTAGCATTTGGGGTTGCCGAAACTGGGGGGGGGGGTGGAAGGGGGTTCCTTTTCAATTTCTGCATGCATTCCTGCATGACCTGGCTTGTGATGACCTCGCAGCGCTACGAACGAACGGCAACATGAGAATGATGTGTGTCAGCTGAATCTTGCTGACAAGTTCTCGCTCTCTCTCTCTCTCTCTCTCTCTCTCTCTCTCTCTCTCTCTTGGTAAGCTTAGCAGCTGGCCCGTACAGAGCCAGCTAACGTTAGTGATATGTACCCAGTGGAGGCAGGCTCGCTTGAAATCGCATAAGCTTATGCTCTGAATGTGGTCCCCGGATGCTCAGCTGGGGGGGGGCTTCTTCGTCTCGTGATGGTTTTGTTGGTTTCAGAATGTAGCTGTTCTTTGCTTCTCGCCTCAGGCTCTGGGAGTCACATGCTGTATATGAGAGGGTTGTATGTGTTGCCTGCGGTTGGGTCCAGGGTTTCGAGTTCCATGCTTCACTGGGTTAAATGTTTTACCTGGCCGTGCTGTCTGCTTGTGAGCCAGTCTCTCAGCCCTTGGACCTGCCCTAAACCCTATTAATTGCACCTGCCAGTTTTTGCTCGGAGATCAAGCGCCTGCTCGCCGCCACGCCAGTACACAAAAGAGGGAGAGTAGTGTGATGTAGTGTGAAACAACCTTGACTGCCAACAAGTTGTCTTCGCGCCGGTTCACTTGTCGCTCTGACAGCTTGTGCGTACCCATAGGATCCATAGTACTTCCCTTTTGGGATTACCTTATAGGATTCTAAATATGATCCCCAAAAAGGAACTACTATGGAGCCTTAAGCTAGATATACAGAACTTCCGGCGATTTTCTTCACTCAGAGAATGAGGGAGCAAGACACTGATCCCAAGTGCACCATCCAACAGCATGCCGCTCATTGCAAAACGCCCTTCCCCCCCCTCATAAAT